CTGTGTATACTCTAGCAAACCTACGAGTAAACTGTGTCAACACTGATCGATGCGAAACCCTAAGGTCAACATCAGTCAACGTGTAGCCCTAGATCAACGCCAGTTAACGCGTTACGATGAAAGTCAGCGACGATCAATTCGAAACCCTAAGGTCAACGCCGGTCAACGCATAGCCCTAGGTCAACACAAGTCAACGCCGATCGATACGAAATCCTAAGGTAAACGTCGGTCAACACGTAGCTTTGAGTCAACGTTGGTCAACGCATAGCTCTGAGGTAACGTCAGTCAACGCGTTGTGATGGAGATAGTCAGTTCACAGTCAACTCAATGACATGAGCCAAAATCAACTCACTAATTTGATTCGAGACTTCGACGACGACCAGACGATAAATGTAGCGCCGGAGGAATTTTAGCTATTCGTTAAAATATTGAATAGACCAAAAATCAAAGAAGTCAAGAATCGAAGCTAACTATAGGTCCTTTGTCACCGACTAAAGGTTGGACAGATCACATTCAAAGTATTTTAGGTTTTTCTATAAAAGAAACGAGACTGAAACACTTTGGAGGGTGTATCTATAGGCGTTAAAAATTACCCACAGATTCCTACACGTCACTTAAGACAGAGAGAAGATAATGAATGTTATTATCCGTATTACAGAAGCTTAATTGATATCGATAAACACATGAAGTAAGTCGATGAACCGTGTGAAGCAACGAAACTGCAGAATAACAAAGATACGAACTGATCGGGAGCTACACTTCGCTTATGAAAGACGAAGCGCTCCTCGTGTCTTATCTACTCCACATGTGATTCAACCATGGGAACTTATAGATCTTCTCGTCAGATTTCCTTCGCACTTTGAATCACGCAATTCTGAGTTCGGGTGACAATGATATGACGGAAACAGACGGGATGCACAAAACAATGCCTTGGGCCTTAGCGGAGACATTCCAAGTGTCTCGGCCTTGGTAGAGACTGTCTCGCTTTGAATATGAAGAAACTCAAAAGATAAAAATTGTATATTTCTTCTCCAGCTTTCTAATGCATCTTAGATCAACTCATTCTGAGATCGGATGAGAGAGTTAGAGGCAAAACAATAGAGAGGCACTTGTACTGTCTCGGCCAAGATCGAGACAGTTGGAGTGTATTGGGCCTTATAGATCTATTTTAACCTTGATTAACTTCAAATATGAAGAATCTCAAAAGACAAAAGTTGTATATCTCCTTGTTATCTTTCTAATTCATCTTGTATCAACTTATTCCGAGATCGTATGAGAGAGATAAAGCTAAAATACCGAAGATAGTATAAACTGCCTCAGAATTCCGAGATAGTGTTGGTGTCTTAGAGAAGAATGGAGATTTTGGCTATAATTTGATTCGAATATAAAAAAAACTCAAAAGATAAAAGTTATAGATCTCTTCGTCAGATTTCCAACTAATCTTGAATCATTTCATTTGGAAGTCATATGAGAGGGATAGAGGAAAAACAAACAGAGACACTCTAACTGTCTTGGCCAAGGCCGAGACACTCTAACTATCTCGGCCAAGGCTGAGACACCTTGAGTGTCTTGGCCAAGGCCGAACACTCCAAGTGTCTCGGCCAAGGCCGAGACATCGCGGGTGTCTGCAGGCTCTAAAAAGTCGTTTTATTTAGGTTTGAACCGTTTTTCAACCGTTAACCACCTGGATTTATTTTAACTGATCTAATATCATCCAAGAACGTGATAAAGTAGTTATAACTGAGGATAAGATAAAATTGTTTATTCTTATCCGAAAACAGGGCTCCTGAAGCCTATAAATACAGCCCTAGGGCCTTCATTTGCACAGATCTAAAATTCTCGAGCCTTGGCGAAGCTCTGCTGAATCAGAGACTGAGGAGCACGAATTTCAGAGAGGAGGAGGAGATCGGACCGAGTTCTTCGACATAAGGAAGTGGAGTTCGTCAGATCTATAGTCTGGTTCCTTCCCTTGAGATCGTACCTAGCTGCGATCTCGAGAAGAGTAGTTATATCGCTGTTGCCGAGATAATTGCTTCGGTTTCTTGATTCCTTCAGGAATCAATAAAACTCTAAATTCATCTGATAACTTGGTGGTCCACGGATAAACCCCGGCACAGGCAAAAATCTCACGCAAACAGCGGGTGATAAACGTCCGTTGTGTTTGTTTTGACGAGAGTTGTAATTTTTCCTTTTCATTTTGTAAAAGTCTTATAAAAAGACTATCTTTTTTGTTTTCATTGTAACGACTGAAGTTGTAATGAATACCTCAATGAAGATGTCAACTTTCACCCAAACAGACGGAGCAGAAGAACAAGTTGAAGCTTAGCTATTTCCTTAGTTATTTGATGGTCCTTACTTTATTTTTAGCAGTACTTTCCTTTTTTATGGACTATGTATTTTTATATTTTTAGTTGGACCGTTTGTAATAAGGGCATGTTTGACCCAAACTCTGTGTCTCGGATGATATTCTATTTTGTGATATGTCTCTTTTTCATTCTAAGTTGTTCATTATATTCTTGCTATGTGTGATCGGGGTCCTATGACTTTGTATTGTTTATTACTTGACGCTTAGCGTATTAGGTTGAGAAGAAATATTTAATTTATTTATTCTCCTCAATCAAATACGTTGCAGGCCTGTTCACGTTCTGATTCCCCAGTATTTTGGGAAGCGGGGCGTGACATGCATCGATCCTTAATAGGTTCAGCTATTATATGAACTCAGATGTGCTTGTTATGACTTTACATGTATAATTTGTGCTCAATTTACAGTTGGCAATAAAAATTTTCACTTACCCAAAAAAACACCAACTTCAATATGACTATAAAACACCACTTCAATAAGTCAAGATCTCATTCAACTCAATATTAAGTCCAATATGCATTCACAAGAATTTGAATTAATTCAAATAGAAGATCTTATATTAGAGATTACAACTATTCTGAAAATCATCTTTATCTAGTAAAGCAACAAAACTATGTCTTGCTTATGATTTTATTCCACTAATGCCTGTCACACATTTTCATAAACACTTCTTTACAAGTTATCCATTGCAAGTATCCTGACAAATCAAACATAGCTTGTCATCTTAGATATATTACTTTAGTAAGGTATTATTTCACATTTTTTTCTTAACCTTTTTTTTTATCTTTCACGTCCTTTCTATTGTTCATATTCTTTCTCACGCTTGTCGTACGCTTTAGCTTTAATGTTGTTTCCTTGGAATTTCCATCTTCATCACCTTTTAATGGTTTAAAATCTTCTGACTTGGCGATCTCTTGAGCAATTACTCTTCCTTCAATTCTCAATTCTTCATCTTTCTCATTTATCAATTCTCAGTTATTCATTGCAACAGTTCATCATTTCTAGTACATAGGCAATAAACGCTCGTTAACACATATATGTTTTGTTACCTTTTTTATTATTTCATGAAAATATTTCATTGTTTTCAACATTCCATGCATAGTAGTAATTTTTCCATAGTTACGCACCTTTTCTTCTTCATCAAATGAATCCACGTTTTCTTCAGTTGTTTAGCAAGATTGAAATTTAATTTCATCAAAGAGAGTAGTATATTGCCCTGTTGATATGGTCCTTTACTACGAATCGCATACGGTATCTTGTCATTAAAATTATCAAATTAATCCCAATCTAGAAAAGATTATAAAGGAATAGGAAATATAATAAGATTTGTCATTAAAATTATCAAATTAGGTGATATAAACCATCATTTCCTAGTGGTGGCACCTGTACTCTTATTAATGTTTCCAGTTCAGCATTCTTTTTCCCTTAAATCAAACTCAGCTTCATATCAAAGTAACAAGCTGCACAGCTACAGAAGGCATCAAAGAAACGTCAAACTGAAACTGATAGGAGCACAGAAACCAGAAAAATAATGACACAAGTAACAACAAACAAACTGGAGAGATGTCAAACATCATTTCCTAGTGGTGAAAACTGAATAACTAAAATTAAATATGATATATATATCGAGCCTCACTCACCTCTACATTGTCCATGATCAGCTGAAGCCCCCCACAACTAATTTTCCCTGCCGAGAATATGCGAATGTGACTTAAAAGATTGGAATTCATTCTATATAACCAGTCAAAGGCTTATGAATAGTAAATCATATTATAGATTAAGAAATAATATCAAATAATATTGCTTATCAAATATATAGTAAACTGCATTACTAATCCCAACTTCGTTTTCTTTAACCTGGTGGAGACAATTTATTAACTTACCACCTATAAGTTCATAAGCCTTCAATTGCATGTTTTCCCCTATCGTTCCAGTCAAGGTATGGCAGATGGATTTCTATTGCAGTAGCTATTTTCTCACTAACTTCATATATGATAAGTATTTGTATACAGTAATTTTTTAAGTTAATGATTTTATACCCAATTTTTATTCCAATGTAAATTGTTTAAAATATCTAATATATATTATGGACTAACTATTTAGTCCTAACATAGCAAATCGGTAAAATAAAAACTAAAGAAAGAAATCGCTCTTCATTATCAGTGCTAAAAAATTAGGCATCCTAAACGAAAAATTCCGTCTAGGATACACAAAATTCCGTCTAGGATGCGTATCCTAGACGGAATTCCGTCTAGAATATCGGTCTAGGATGTTTCCGTCTAGGATGTAGTATTCTAGACGAAAATTCCGTCTAGAATATATCATAGTTGGAATATTCTAGACGGAATTCAAAACCGTCTAGAATACATCCTAGACGGATTATTCTAGACGGAATTTCCGTCTAGAATAATTCATCCTAGACGGAAAAAATTTCCGTCTAGAATGAGTATTCTAGACGAAAATTTCCGTCTAGAATACTCATTCTAGACGGAAATTGATATTTTTTTAATTTTTAATTTTTTTTAAAAGCATTCTAGACGGAATTTGAGCATCCTAGACGGAATTTCCGTCTAGGATACTAAGCTACAGTTTTTTTTTTTTTTTCAGAATCCACTTTGGGTTCATGTACACAATATTGAACAACAAAAAATTATATTCATATCCAACACAATCTAATTATATTCCAATATCAAATCCCATTATATTCAATTAATACATTCACCAAAATAGTAAAGAGATATATAAATTGTTTACAAACTTTTACATAAATTATTTACAACGGCTATGACACTGCAGAAGCTTCTTCAACTCCTTCCCTATACATTTACTCAAGCCCTCTTCTTCTCCTTCTTCACCTTCTTCCTCATCACCTTCTTCCTCACCATATCTATAATAAGATTATAAGAATATTAAAAACGACAAGAAGAACAATAAATAGATAGACTTTGATTAAAAGTCAAAACCTTTCCTACTGAAAATCAATGATAGAGCATCAAATTAAAGATCGAACATGGTGAAACCTACATTATTAGCGTGGCTAAAAACCTAAAACCAAACTTTTGAAATTTTAAGCTTTCTTTCTCATGGATCAAGTGGCCGCAAAAATGAAGGGCTTAAATAACAAGTTGTGTAGTTTATGATCGAAAATGTTTCAACCCCATCAATATTGCATACAAAGATTTTGAACTATTACATCATGGGCCAATGTCTGGACTCTAAATTTGTATACTCCAAACTTAAAATCTAAACAATTGTCTACTTCTTACCATTCATTTTGAACATAGTTTATGATTCGACAAAAAACTTGAACATGACAATTTTTCTTTTCTAAATACTTTATACAGAGCAGATCAGCTTTAACAAATAGAGATACAGGGAAGCTCCATCATCAAAGATCTCAAAGAGAATTACTTCCTCATCATCCTAGAATCGAGCTTCTTGTTCAAACCTCTCTGTGGTGGGCGGAACTGGGGATTTCTTCATGGCACGTGGAATTCCCACCTTTAAGACATTGTCGGCAAGTTTGACATACTTCAAGGTCCAGATGGATGTTAAGCTCTATGAGTGTTATTGATTTTTTTTTCTGTTTGTGTACTTCTACGTTTGTGTATGGATCTCTGTTATGTTCTATGTATCAACTTGACATGCATGGAAGACCCAGGAATTAACTGACACGCTACATGATGTAGTTGTGAATACCAGTTTCCTTCGTATGGAATTTAATGCTTCATTAGTACTACTGGTCATGTATAGTTATTTTAGTCAAGCAACCGATATTATCATTAAAAAAAATGAGAAGAAAGCATTTAGGCAGGAGTTCCATTAAAAAAAGATTAACAAAACCTCCAAACATAAAGGGAAACAAATATATGTGCACATAATTTGGCCTTTAAGCTAGCATCAACTACGCTACATTTACAATCATCAGAACATGGTAAGCTTTCAATGAATTTATAAGAAATTCAAGCAATGAAAAAGAAAAAGAAAAAGAAAAAAAAATCAAGGTTTTAGGCACACCTCAGATTTATGGTCCATATGGATAATTTCCTGAACACCACCAGGCACTACTATGCAACTATAGCCAGCTTTCAGATACGAGTAAAAATTCTTTCTGGACGCTGGAACCAGCCCTAACCATGTCCATATCTGCCTCAAGAATGGTGTGTAAAACACCTGAATCATTATTATGAACAGACATATTAGTATTAGTGAAAGAGTAAAGGAGGTACTCTGATTTCAACACGTCGATTCCCAAAAGAAAAGAAAATGTTAATGGCAGAAGACCTTATAGCACTACTTGCAAGGACCTTGATCTTTGGCAATGGCATGAAACCAGTGTGATCAGCAAGCGCGCATACAGCAATAGGTAATACCGAATGTGGCTCGTACCCGAACACTGAAGTAGACACCCAAAAAAAAATCATAAGAATCTAAATGTTACCATCAAAAGAATCTGATAATACACTGCGTAATTGATCCCCAAAGGACGTAGGATCAAAGAATCATTTAACAATCAACTAATATTGGAAATTTATTGTGTAAATACAGTCGTACATCAGAAGAACTAGAAATGAGCAGTTAACATAAACGAAAGTTGGGATCAATGCCTAACAACTTAAGCTTTTGGATTAAATCATTCCTATATCTAATTTTGAATCAAAAGAATCTGATACTCTTTATTATGTGGGCTGTCCTCCAACCTCATTCAAAATGGAATATCTCCAATTATTCAACTACAAATGTATCCGCAAACTAGAAGAGAACCCATTTTAGAGCTTCACAAAAACCAAACTAAAAGTGATCAAAATCAAAGAAAAAAACTCAAAAATTTAACCATAAGCTCGGCTTGGATCAAAGGTCTTAATATCCTCCACATGAAGAGTTATTGGGAAATACCCACACGCATATTTACAAATAAACCTGTATATTCCCCCCGAAAAAGGAATCATCAAAAATTCAAAAAAATAACTAAAAAAATAATAGAAATATGGGTTTCTCTTCTCCCTCAAACCTCGATAATTTCCTTCCCCGTTTGTTCTTATCATTCAACGGAATCACCATGAACAGAAACAGCAACCCAAATACGCTGCAAAATGGCAACACGGTAAATAACCACAAAACCCAGTGGCGAAAACTAGAAATCTCAGAAGGGTACGCTACGCACGTGACGGCGAGGCGGAGGAGGAGGAATACGGCGATGAGGACGGCGGCGGCGTTGAAGTAGAAGGCGCCAAGCCAGACGGCGAGGGCGACGGTGGTTCGGATAGCGGAATATTCCGTCCCCGTGAAGACGGTCGGCTCGCTGGGTTTTGGGTTTGTGGGGGAGGCGACGACGGGACGACGATATCGGAGGAGGACGTCGAGGAGCTGAGGGGGAGGCGACGAATTGTCGACGGTGGGGTTTTCGAGGAGTTCGCCAGAGAGAGAAACAAGGGAAGAATGAAAAAGATGGCGCCTTTGGATGGAATTATATGGGGGAGAGAATTGGGGGACACGTGGCAGGACGTTAGATTGCCTTTCTCTTGATGATTACACCAGAGCTTTCTGGATGAAGGATTGGTTGGTTTCGCTGATGTTTTTTTCTTTTTCCTTTTTTTGGTGTTAGGTCAGGGGCTGTTCGTTTCGCAAAAATTTTTGGGAAATCAAAGAATAGGAAATCAAATAATAGGATTTCTTGAATTATGGTTGTTTGGTTGGTTAAATTATAATAAAAACTGATCTGAGTATCCTAGACGAAAATTTCCGTCTAGGATACAACCCAGACGAAAATTTCCGTCTAGGATGCTTAGCTAATTTAAAAAATAATAATAAATAAATAAATCCGTCTACAATACTATTCTAGACGGAAATTTTCGTCTAGAATAGTATATCCTAGACGGAATATCCTAGACGGAAAATTTCTGTCTAGAATATTACATCCTAGACGGAAATTTTTCCGTCTAGGATATTCCGTCTAGGAAATTCAAATTTCTACTAGTGTATAAATTATAAATTCGAAAAATAACAAAAGGGAAAAAGGACGTATGCTAGTTGCCTTGCAAGATGGGTTCTCCACCAAGAACTGTATAAAATAGAGAATAAAAATAAAAAATAATACTGTATACATGGGTAATAATCTGAACTTTTTTTTTGGCGGGGGGGGGGTGCGCGGGGTCAATACTTTACACTCACGAAAACTCTTTCTCTAGATAAATTACCTACAAAAGCCTTATATATAATCACTTTGATAATTACTGTTTCCAATTAAATTGCGAGTGAGAGAAATGGGGGAGTGTGTATGCCGACATTGTCATTTAATTATCAGCCACTAAAGTCGGTGCCTAATATGGAATTGATGTAAATATTTGGTTGAGAGAAATTAGGGAGGTTCGGAATTGTGTTAGAGAGAGGGATTGCAGCGGCATTGATTTTGATGAGTTCGCTAAAAAGGGGGGGGGTCCGGGGGGGGGGGGCGGCGCTTTTGCATGACATATGGAACCCCTGGAAATCAATGAGAATTCCATCAGGATGCTGTAGAGGAGAGGGTATTTGTAGGGTCCGATTATGACTTGATGCCATAAATGGTCTATAACTAATTTAAGCACAATTGCTCCAACGATTTCAAAGTTTAGAATTAGATTGGACTGCTAGCGATTTTTCTTCTACCAACCTACATAGTTTAATTTATTATCTATAATTATTACTTATAATACATTATATTATAATTACACATTATTTATAAATATATATACACACACGCATAAAGGAGGGATTTCCATGTCAAAACTTTTAATTGAGAGGGTAAAAATGGTAATCAAAAGTTTTGATATGAGAATCCTCTTTTATAAGAGGTATAGATTTTGTACTATCATCACCGTTACATGTCATACAGTTAATACCATTTATGCCTAATCATCAATTACAGCCTTAGTTACTATGAACTCCCCCTGAAGTCCTTTATGTAACCCTCCACATTCTTCCATTTTTGTTGGCATCAAATCAAATTAAAAGACATTGGTTTTTTTTTTCCTTCTATTAGACAAATTCAAGAAGACTGTGTATATGTTTATTGTTGGGGATATGTATTGATTGTATTAAGATTCCTCTCTTTTATATGATTTTTGACAAAATTGTAGGCGTCTAAAAATACCTATAGGTTCCCGTATACGGCTCGAGACAAAGAGGAGGCGATAAACGTCATCATCCAAGTTGAGAAGATTTGTCCGAGTGGCCTGCGTACTCATCGGCCACCTCCAAGCGGTCCGCACGTTCACGAAACACGCAGAGCGAATCGAGGAAGCATGCCAGTCAACGAAACAATGAAATACATGTAATCGACGGAAAAGGTCGAAGCACGGAAAACCAAGAAAGCCCCTGGCAGCCGAGTCGCGTCAAAACGACCAGTTTCGATCCAAAACCAGTTTTTTTGGGTTTTCGCGGATTCTTTCGGGATTTGTTTGTTCCTGAGCGTCGCAACTGATCTGATACTATGGTTAATCAGTTATTAACTGAAGATAAGGAGGAATTCCTCGTTTTGATCCAAGAACCCCTCAATCGGAGCCTATAAATACGAGCTCGGGTGCTCATTTATCGGGATCTGGAAATAAAGAGGACGAAGTGCTGTCGAATTGGAGATTGGAGCACGAATTTCAGAGAGTTAGCAGATCTTAGCGGAGTTCCTCAACAAAGTGAGAGTTCGAGAGATCTGAGACTTGTTCTTCCTATTCCTCCGGATTTAAGGTTAGTCTTTATCTCGAGAAGAGTCGTGATCTCGCTTGGTCGAGATTATCGCTGTTGCGATTACTTCCTTCGTGAAGTGAAAGCATTGATTATCCATCTTCTGCTAACCGGATTTGATCCGTAGGCGGTCCACGGATAAACCCGGCACCGGCAACGATCCCGCACAAGCAATAGGAGTTAGAACTACTATTGTGTGTAGTTTGAGAAAGAGTTGTAATCGTTGATTGAAGGTCTTATAAAAAAGCTAATTTCTTGAATTTGTTGTAACGTTTAAAGGTGTTATGGATTCTTCAACGAAATCAATTTTCTATCCAAACACGCTGGCGACCATAGTGAGAGCCGACAGCCTTTCTACGAAGGCTGATGTGTCGCAACCTTGGATCCGCATCCTGGTTGAAGAAGAGGTCGAATACGAGTTCAACCAGCAGAAGTACGAGGAGTACTTGTCCTCCTCCTCCAGATCGGCCTCTCCTCACA